TGTTAGGGAGCAGGAGCCCGGGGAAGTGGTGGTGGTGGTGGGGCTCTCAGGGACGCATCCAGACTGTGCTCCACGGCGCGAGGGGAGCCTGGGTCTGCGGGAGCAGAGGCTGAGGCTGGGCCTCCGAGTGTCCGCTGAGCCAAGCTCGGCGCCAGGGCCGGAGGGCGCGGATGCGGCAGAGCCCCGCTTTGAAGCACCGCAGTAGGGCGGGCGGGCCTGCGCCTCAGCTGTCAGGCTGGCTCATGTCCTCGGCCCACGCACTGCACAGCCAGCCACGGGCCTCCAGGACTCTCGGGGTGTGGCCCTCTGTGGCTGTGCTGGGAATCACCTGGCTCCCACTGCCACAGAGCACCAAGCACCTGGTTTCAACCGAGGGCCACCTCTGGGCCGGTTCCAGACCCGGGGTTCTTCCCAAGCACAGGCTGGAAGGTGACTTTGACACCATACTAGTGTCAGGGACTGGAGTCCCTGCTGGCTGGAACTCTGCTCCTGGACAATGTGTTATCCACAGCAGCCTTAGGAGATTCAATTTCTTTGCCATCTTCCTGGTGCCTTACCAGCATTTCTCCTCCCTTAAATCTGCCCTTCTTGTGTTCACCCAGACTCTTCCTGTTTCTAAAACAAACCAAGTTTGTTGCTGCCCCAGGGCCTTTGCACTCACGGCCTCCTATCCCTATGACACCTTCCCTAGGATCTTTATGTAACTGCTATCCAGTCCTCAGCTAAGTCTTACTGGAAAGGTCACACCTCCATCCTTGGCTGCTGGTTCTGAAGTTGCCTCCTGCCCTGCCTCTTTGTCTCATTTCCTGTGGATTTGTATTCACAGCATCTCACCTCTCACCACCTGAAATTATCTGGTTCGTTTATTGTTTTACTTGTTTCCTGTCTCCCTGACCAGGAAAAAAAAAAAAAAAAAAAAAAAAAAAAAAAAAAAAAAAAAAAAAAAGCTCTGAGAAAACAGAGGCCTTGTCTGGGGCCTAGAACTGCTTCTGGCAGGTGCTCAAAAACCTATTTGCTGAATGAACACATTCACCTTCCGGAAACACTGAAAGTAACAATGGAGAGCTCGGAGGGATGTGGACGGGGTTTGGATGAGGGGCCAGGTGGAGGGGGAAGTGGGCAGAGGAAAACAGCTCTTGGTGGGAAGCTAGCACTAGAAGTGATTTCCATCTTTCAAACTTCTTTTTGTGTAGTTCTGTTGTTTCCAGATAACTTTATTGAAGTATAATTCATATGCTAATGAGCCCACTTTTTATGCGCGTGTGTGTGATACTGAGCAGGTGCTGTACCACTGAGCTACATACCCCACCCTGTTTTGTTTTTTTTAAATAGAGTTTTGCTAAATTGCCCAAGCTGGCCTTGAACTTAGGATCCTCCTGCTTCAGCCTTCCAAGCAGCCTGGATTATAGGCATGTGCACCACACCCAGCCACGATCACCCCTTTATTTGTAAAGTGTACAGTTTGGGGGCATTGTAGTATATTCTCAAGGTTGTGCATCGCCTCATTCCAGAGCATTTCCATCGCCCCCCAAGAGGAACCCCAACCCCATGCACAGTCACTCGCATCCAAGCTGCGGGCCGGGCTGCGCCGAACAGGGTCTGATCAGAGTGCGTTGCTGGGCTTTGTCTTTGGCAGCGGGACGGGTACAATGACGGGGACAAGAGTGACGCCACCCACGACAGGTGAATGGGGCGCCTGGGCTGCAGGGCAGGGCCGGGCTCGGGCCTTCTCTCCTGGCTGATCTTTATGCAGCCGGGGCTGGCTCTGCTGTCGCAGGCTCACCACGCATCGCCGCTGTGACAAATGATAAAGACCTCACCGGGCACAAGAGATCCACAGGACGAACTGAGCGGAGACAAAGGCACAGGCTGCACGGCACGATTCTGCTGACTTAAGGTCTTCTGCCTGGTTGTGCTGATGCTGGAGAACGTCAGCCATCCGCTGCCTAAGAGAGTCTCCGGGCGCTCCCAGGAATCAGCGCCAGAATGGAAGGGGTCCTGTCTCAGGCACTGAGACGGGCCAGGGTCTGCGGGCCACGGAGCAGAATTTTGGAGACTTTCTTACTCCGCTGCACCGCCTCCTGGGAAACGCCGAGATGGGCCCCTCTCCCAGGCTCCCTGTGCGCCAGGGACAAATATTTGCTCTTGCAATTAGAATCCCTCATCCTGCCTTGGAGCAGTCTTTGAGCAACTCTGGAGAGCCCGCCAAATGCGTGTTAACCAGGTAATTGTGGCTGCATCCGACCCCTTGAGTGTGTGTGAGCGTGGCAAGTGGCTGGTGACGCGCTCGGAGCTCTCATCTGTATCCCTGACTTTAGCCTTTTGCCAGGTGTGCATCTAAGTGAAAGAAAGGCCACCCTCCGGTGATTCTACTTCAGAACACCCTGTGGGAAGGACCACCGTCAGCTGAAGAATTTCGTGGGGGCCGCGTGCCCAGGCAGTAGGCTCTGATAAAACCCTGCACACACCGCTGGCCTGCCGGACCCGCGCTCGGGCCGCACCAGACCAGCCGCGTTCCAGCCTCCTTAGAAAATGCATTGCACAGTGAAAGACACCAGGACAGGCGGAGAACGGCAGGGCCTGAGGCACCGAAGGGAGGCCACATCTCCTACACCCACCCTTGTCGCCTGCCCGCCTGCCCCTCCGTCTCCCTTGGTGCGTGCACTCCTGGTCACTCACAGACCCTGGCACACAAGAGGCCTCTAATAGCTGAGGTGGCTCTTACAGCTTTCCCTTCCTCGGGGTTTAAGGAGTGTTTCGGGGTACAGCAGGAGCGTGGGAGGTTGCTCCGAGTGTAGTAGGAATACGAGGTCTACCGTGTACAGGAGAGCGGGAAAAGTAGGTTACCAGCAGCGCACATAGCATGACCCAATTTTGGGTGAAAAGCAAATCCCACATTTACGTGTTTGCTTATGTATGGAAAAGTCTGGCAAGAAATAACCACACAACCGTGACCACCTCAGGAGGAAGAAGCAAAAGAGAAAGCATGAATGGAAACTTTTTTTTTCTATTTTCTAAAAGGGTTTTTTTTTTTTTAAAAAAGGGCATTGTGCATTGTATTAATTTTATAATTAAAATCTAATACAATTTTCTAAATGAGCTTCGGGAATAGAAGCACTGTGCTTCCAAAATATTTGCAGTTGGCCTTTGTCACAGAGGCAGTGAGCCGGGCTGCTGGGTATATTTTATCCTTTCAACCAGGCTGTGAGGGCTGAGAGTACAAGGACAGGGGCCAAAGAAAGAACGAACAGTGTCCCCCCATGAGCTCCACCACTCAGTGCAAAATCTCCCTGCAGCCGGCATTTGATTTTAAGTCTCCAGATTTCCTGGGTGCGCTGGGGTCACATGCAGACTCAGGGAGGGGTCAGGACTCAAAGAAGGTTCTGACTGCAAGGCTGTGGTGCGCTCTGCTTCGGGGAAACACAACTGCCACGCCAACATTCAGCTGTGAAGTTTTCAGCGCTCTGTGAATCAGGTTCCCTGGTTAAATCTGTTTGGCATATGCTCCTTACCACCAACCCTCTTGGGGATAGTCAGGTGCATGGCCGTGAGTCTGTGAAAGGCTCTGAAAAGTCCCGCAGCAAAAAAAACTAGGTTTCAGTTCAGTCCCAAATCTCCCCCATTGTTTGATCAGAGTCTGTTGAAATGGTCAGCACCGGGTGCCCCAGGGTTTCCCTGGTTGCTCCCCAAAGATAGCAAAGGTGTGTGTCACGGATGGAAAGAAGAGATCCTACCTCCCGACTAGGAGAGGCCACGCCAGGCTCATGCCTGTGGAACACACGATGGGGTCATTGCTTAGTGCCGTGTGCAAAGTGCCCTGGCACTATCGCGAGATCCAGGGTCAGACAGGTCCGGTTTCCAATACCAAGTGAACCGGGCTTTCTGTGTGATCCAGGGTTAGTCTCTCCCGCTCCAGGAGGTGCGGTGACTCCGCTTCTCTCCACTGCACCCAGGGAAGAGTTGGAAGCACGGAGAGGCTTGGTTATTCCCCCAAAGGCGCCCCGCGACCCCCTATTGAGCTAAGGCTCTAACAGAGGTAATGCTTGTTTTTGTGTCTGCCACGCGCAGGGCACTAAGCTTTTTGTTTTCTTTTGTTTCTATTTTTTAAAGCACTTCCAAGATTCTGATGATGCACGCGCGCCACCAGCCAGCTCAGGACCTGGCCCCGGGTCGGCGCCCAACTCTGCTCCTATCTGGACTCCGATTATCCGCGCTGGGTTTTGAGTGGCTCGGCCCACAGCACACCTCTTCCTCTCCCGTCCCATATTTTTCGCCTTGCTACCTCCTCCACACCATCTTCCCCTTTTCCATCCATAGAGAAAAAAGAAACCCAAAAGTGCCAACGTGAAGCGTGCACGCTCTCAGCGGTTCAAGCATTTTTCAAGGAGTGCAGTCAGTCAAGGTCACGGCCTCCTCAAGCGCCCGAGGCCGGGTTCCCCTGGGATGCTGGTTCCCAGGCAGGGCCCAGGTTGGACTCGGGGGGCGGGGCGATCCGC